TCCCTGTTAAGAAGATGTGGAGCACTCTGAAGCATGTGAAATATCAATTCAGAAACCGGATCTTACTCAACATGACTTTGGATGGCTGAAGTTTTCAAAATATAATCTATACTCTATACTAATATTATAAATGCGACAGTAACTCTGTCTGTCTGTCTCGCTTTCACGCCTAAACCACTGAACCGATCTTGATGAAATTTGGCATAGAGATAGTTTGAGTCCCGGGAAAGGACATAGGATAGTTTTTATCCCTGTTTTTGATACAGGGACGCGCGCGATAACGTTTTTCTGTGACAGACAAAATTCTACGTGGGTGAAGCCGCGGGCGGAAAGCTAGTGACAAATAACCAAAATTCTATATATAAAGTTACTCATAACTTTGACATAATATTACACAAAGTCCATCAGAGGCTCATCAAGTGCTAAAATGTGTTCATACTTCATAGTTGCGAGTCACGCCGAGCTTGCACAACGGAGCAGGTGTGCGCGCATACCTAGGCAAGGGCTAGGACCGTTTACACCGTACGATTCTTATGTATAAAACTCTTTTTTTTTGCAAATTGGCTTTTGAAAAGCCCTTATACATTTCCCAGTATTAACCGTACCACTGCTTCAGGACATAAATGGGCCAGTGTCCACCCCTTTTTCAAGGATTTACAGTCTTTAAAATATAAATAGTCAATCATAAAATAATGATTGATGCGAGCTAGACAGTTTGTAAAGACAAACGGGACAAAATCCTACCTCTCGTTCCCACCGCTGCAATACTGCTGTGTAGCCAGAATCTACACCGCCAATAAAACCCAACCAGTGAAGGTCAAGTTTATCCCACCAAAAACATTCTGTAAAAAACTACCTAGCCAAGTCTCGATGGACTGCTGCTTGTTTATCTCTAAAAAGTAATGAAATCTAGACAAAGTCGTGCCAAGTCTATGGTTCCTTACTGCAATTTCTTTATTATTATAGTTAATGTTGTGTGGCTTGGCCGTTGAAGGGTACAAATCCAGGTGCTCCATGACACTATTGCACCAATCTGTCGTAGCGGCCCATTGACGATGGAAAATGCCACTTGGAAAACGTTGATTCAATAACCAGTCAAGTAGGCTTGATAAAGCTGCGTATTTCAATAATACTTATGTATTATTATTATCCTATAAAGATTGTTCAACGGCCAAGTCACCCAACATTAACTATAATAATAAAGAAATTGCAGTAAGGAACCATAGACTTGGCACGACTTTGTCTAGATTTCATTACTTTTTAGAGATAAACAAGCAGCAGTCCATCGAGACTTGGCTAGTTTTTTACAGAATGTTTTTGGTGGGATTTCACTTCTTTTTGTAGAAAGTGGCATAATTATTTAAGGTCGTCGTTAAACACAAATAAACTCAACTACCTTTATTAAAATTGACAACGAATAAGAACCGTTTTAATAACTTAACCTTAGCTAACTAATCTAATAAACGAAATCAACGAAATGCAAATTACACAACATTCAACTTAATCGACGGGGGGTCTAGAAAGGAAAAAAAATCTGGACACCGCGGTGCAGAAAATCGACGCTCAAAGTGCTAGCGCCATCTAGCGGTGAGCGGTACAGGCGAACACCACGGTGCCGGTGTGGCGCTAGTAGTATTGATATGAATGTGGTGTTACTCCAGATCTTCGATTTTCCTAGTTTTTATAGTTTTCCCTTTATGTAGTCATTAAACCCTAACTCTGTACCAAATTTCAGCTCTCTGAGGTAATGGGAAGTACTAGTTCTATTTTGATGATCATCAGTGAGTGAGTGAGTGAGTGAGTGTCATAAATGCGAAACTTTGCTTTCGCTTAACTTCGGAACTAAATGACCTACAGACTTGAAATTTTGGATTTTAAGTATGTGATTATAGCTTATTAGATGACGAAAGTTTCTGCATTCTGGTCTTATCCAAAGGTTCTCAAATAGAGGCCTGAAAATGCGGCGAAATGGTTCCAGTAAAGGATGGTACGGCAGTGTTTGCTTCGCGCTCGACTTGGCGGGGGCACTGCCGTGCCCCCAGATCCCCCGGAAAGTTAAAATCAGAAGAACATAGGAGGAGTATGATGAGATAATCAATAGTTCATCATTATCATTATAATTCAACCACAGGACGTCCACTGCTGAACATAGACCTACCTCAATGATTTTCAGATTGACCAGTTGGTAGTGGCCTGCGCCTTTCTGCTACTTTTATGAGGTCGGCTCTCCTCCTTGTCGGCCTCTACTCCAGCATGTTTTTATTAATATTTCGGCTTCAAGCCATCATCATCACCATTTTCAGTCACAGTCTCCAGTGCAGGAACACAACCCTTTCTTTCAATCGTTATTTTTGCATCATTAAAAAATATCTAGAAACTGATTTTTATACATGTTAAGCTCGGATATCGGACCCATAAGTTTTCGACAACTGCCTGAACAATAGAAACATTATATGCTGTATTAGGCTTATTAAACTGATCTAAATTGAGACAGTATTTTTCGTTTTACATTCCCTTGAATGTAGCTTTAAATCTCCATTGATGCCACAATACTAAAGCCGTTGTGGTACCACGGACACAAGTGTGTGAAATTCCACTAGCAGGGGGTCTTCAACTTGCAAGACTTGTTCTCCCGGCCAGACAGACCGAGACAGGTGAGCTAAATAAAAGCGTTTAAAGTCTCGTGGGATAAGACATGAATGCGACTCGCATTTTTTTATACAAATTCACAGCATTAATGCAGTGGCATGGGTATTGGGATGCAGTGACTGTTATCTTGTATGGCCTATAGCAAATATGAACTTATGACATCTTATTTGCTTACTAACCTAAATGATTAACTGACTTTGAAAAATTAAAATTGGAATATAATCAGTTAATTTGTCTCTAAAATTTGTCTAGTATCCATTAGCTTTCCTTAGTTTTAGAGAAGTATTGCATTGGTTAGTGTTAGCTACCCAGTCACGATACTGATGGAGTGTGCAATGTCTCGAGATTTTTTTTATGCATAACAAGGCAGGTATTTGACTACAATCGCACCTGATGCTGAGTGGGATGCAGTCTAGGATTAAACATATCTGCCCTGTAGGTGCCTATTAACTCTCGCCTTGAAAAGATCGCGCCGTATAAACCGTCCTTGCCACAGATTATTAACAGGGCGTATAACGGCGCGACCAGGTGCTGTGCGGGAGCACAATTAAAAATAGAAAACCCATTTCAGACCAGCCTCAGAGGCTTTTGTGGCACGCCAGAAAAACGCACAGCATTATTACATACTAGCTAACCCGGCGAACTTCGTACCGGCTATGTTCATCTGGAATTATGTAGGATTCTATAGGTGAAATATTTTTTCAAATTGATTTAGTACTTTGGGAGCTTATTCAATAAAAACAAACAATCAAATCTTTCCTCTTAATATTATAATACATTGCGTAAAATTACACTGTTCTTAGTTTTTCCATCTTGTTTCTTTGTAATTTGCATAAAAACTTTTAAATTATCGTTAACAGAGTTGACTTCACTTGAAGCTTCACTACTGCAAATTATAATTTCAAAATCATTTTTAAATAAGATTAAGATTTCAAAGAAGAATATAAAATTGTAAATAAGTGCAACTGTCAAATCATAAATACAATAGGTACAAGTTGGCGGAACAGTGTGCCCTCAGTGGCGAAAAAACACAAGTCCATCGCCATCAATAAATGAAGAAGAAGTAGGTGAATAATACAAGTTACTATAAAAGTTACATGACTATACAATTTGATGATTACGACAGTGTTAATTTTTATTTTTGTGTTGTTGTTTTTTTAAATTTACAACGAAGAAGCTCTTGGCCTGTACCTCACCTAATGGTAAGTGATGGTAAAGTATTCTTTAATCCATTTTTACACCGCAGAGAAAACGAATAGAATCTGGGTCTTTGTCAAACTGCAACAATAAGGTTATGTTGCACCATCTTACTTTAACTTTGACAAACGTCAAAAATCTGTCAATCTCTATACAAAAACACCGGTTAATTAAAGTAAGTTGGTGCAGCCTAAGCATACAACAAGGATTCAACATTATGCATACAAAAGTGCGTTTAATATGAATATTTACTGCATATTACGACACTCACACTACAATGCACTTGTTACCTCAGGGATGGACCGGTCGCGCACCTGGCCGCACAGTTACTCGTCGGTCCTACTAACATAAAAATGGACATCTGGAGGATGCACGCTCGTTCTGGATTGTTGGTTACCTAGAATAATGTAAGTATGGAATTAATAATGTATGGTCAGTTAATGCCTCCATCTCAAGTTAATTAAGCATGTTTGTAATGTATTTGTAGCTCTGTCATTTGTTTGAAGTTGATAAAACAGAATGATGGTTTAAATTTGAATTTGATTGAGTTTAAAGAAAGTTTGTTCAACTTTGACAACTTTTTAGCAAAACCTATGTAGTTGCAGTCTGCTACTTTAACTGCATAAAATGTTTTTCAGTGATGTAGCGAAACAAATGTTTAATTACTTTTTTCATATAAAAGCGAATTGTATAACTAAACTGGTAAGAAAACTAAATGTTGTCCTACTCAAATAGATAATAACATAATTTTGTCTTCTATTCTAAAAATGCTATTATAGTAACTTGATTAATATTGATTTTAAGAACAGAACACTATAGTATTTATCTAGTTAGCAAAAAGTACTCCATACTTCTGTCTGACTAAAACCTAGTGTAGTGTTTGAGTAGAACCTACAATCCTTAGTACGTATGACATTGTCTCGTGCCTACTGTGTGGCGGGGCGCGCGGTCATTGCAGCGCGAGCCACGGGCGAGAGCGGACGTGCCGCCTGCGCACACAGTGAGTTGCCGAGCCAGTGAGATCGTGTTACAGGAGCACTACAAGTGGCGACGGGGACAAAGGTCAGGCTATTATTTTTTATTTCATTCAAATTAAAACAAAATAAAAGGGGTCAATGTGCTAGAAAAAATTAATATCAATTATGATGCAAATATAGAATGTAATGTCGGAGGTATAAGAACTAAAATGCTGATTGATTCCGGATCTAAATATAACCTAGTAACTGAAAAAACATGGATCGCTTTAAAAGAGCAAGGAGTTGCTTGTTTCAATCAGGAAAAAAACCCGAATAAAACATTACTGGCATATGGCAGTACAATACCGTTAAAAATCATCGGATCATTTGAAACCACGATCAAAGTAAATATGCAGGAAGAACGCGCAAGGATATATGTTATTGCGGAGGGCTCAAGAAATTTACTGGGCAAAGACACTGCATGTAAATTGGGTGTCCTAAAAATAGGTGTTGACATCAACCAAATTAGAAACGAGCCATTCCCGAAGTTTAAGGATGTGTTGGTAGAAATTCCTATCGATGATACTCAAAAACCTGTTTCACAACCATATCGTCGAATCCCAATTCCGATTGAAGAAAAGATAGAAAGGAAAATAAAGGAATTACTGGACAGTGACATAATAGAAGAAGTACGGGAACCCTCTAAATGGATATCGCCAATGGTACCTATTCTGAAAGACAACGGTGAATTGCGCTTGTGCGTTGATATGAGGCGTGCCAATATGGCAATTATGAGGGAAAATCATCCGTTACCCGCAATGGAACACCTCTTGCCAAAGATAAGGAAGGCACAATATTTTACGAAGCTGGACATAAAAAACGCGTTCCATCAGGTGGAATTGCATCCTGACTCCAGACATATTACTACCTTCATTAGTTCAAAGGGACTTTACCGATACAAACGCTTGATGTTCGGGATAACATGTGCTCCCGAATTGTTCCAAAAAATATTGGAAAACATGCTCCTTGAATGTGACGGAGCTATAAATTTTATAGACGATATATTAGTGTTCGGTTGCACTGAAAAGGAACATGATTTGCGCCTAGAAAAGGTGTTAAGGGTCCTTAAGGAAAATAATGTTCTTTTGAACGAGGCGAAATGCTTGTACAAAGTTCAAAAGGTAAACTTCTTGGGACATGAACTAACTCCGGAAGGTGTTAGGCCCTTACACAAGTATATAGAAAGTGTGACCAAATTCAGAGTTCCGAAGACTATAGAGGAGTTGCAAAGCTTTTTGGGCCTAGTTAACTATATTAACAAGTGGCTTCCTAACATGGCAACGATGACGGAGCCATTGAAACAATTATTGAGGAAGAAATTTGGCAAAAATGCTAATATTGAAGAGTTATGGACCCAAGAACAGAATCAGGCTTTTGAGAACTTAAAAAAAGCTCTTACCAAAATTCAAAACCTTGGATATTACGACCTAAACGACAAAACCCAGGTTATTGCTGATGCCAGCCCTGTCGGATTAGGCGCAATTTTGGTTCAAATTGATGCAAAAGGACCCCGAATTATCGCTTTTGGGAACCGCACATTAACCGAATGCGAGCGTAGATACAGCCAAACTGAAAAAGAGGCTTTGGCTTTGGTTTGGGCTATAGAGCATTTCAATATATTTCTATTCGGCAAGGAGTTCGACTTAATTACTGATCATAAACCCTTGGAGGTTTTGTTTGGAGTGAAGTCGAAACCTTGTGCTAGGATAGAGAGGTGGGTACTGCGGCTACAGGCGTATCGGTACAACATCATATACAAGCCTGGAAAGACGAACATCGCTGACCCATTATCAAGACTGTGCATAACCTCAGATTGCAAAAAGACTAATGACGACGAACATGTCAACCAGATTGTAGAAAATGCTAAACCATGCGCGATTTCTATGGCCGAAATTAAAATGCATTCAGAACAAGATCCGGAAATACGCAAAGTGAAGCAAGGTATCTACGACAAGAACTGGGAAGATAATGTCAAAGGATATAAGATCTTTGAAAATGAATTGTGTTTTTTCGGTGACATACTCCTAAGAGGAAATAGAATAGTTATACCATCCACACTTCGGAAAAGAGTCCTAGACGCTGCACATGAAGGGCACCCTGGGATTGTCGGCATGAAAGGACGTTTAAGGAGTAAAGTTTGGTGGCCAAGGATAGACAAGGATTCTGAATGCCTGGTGAAGAGTTGTAAGGGCTGTACTTTAGTAGGGTTACCTAATCCGCCAGCTCCTATGAAACGTCGCGAACTCCCGGATGCACCTTGGGTGGATGTAGCAATGGATTTACTAGGGCCATTGCCTAGCAATGATTATTTATTAGTCGTAGTGGACTATTATAGCCGCTACAAGGAAGTAAAGATAACGAAGACCATTACTAGTGCTGTAATAATCAAGCTATTGAAAGAAATATTTGGCCGCCTGGGCTATCCATCATCCATAACAGCAGATAACGGACGACAGTTTGTGAGTGTGGAATTTAAACATTTTTGCAACGAATGTAATATAAAACTTTTTAGTACAGTGCCCTATTGGCCCCAACAAAATGGCGAAGTAGAGAGACAAAATCGAGACATATTAAAACGATTGAAGATTGGCAGGATTGAGAAAAAAGATTTACAAGATAGCTTGAATGATTACCTCATGATGTATAATTCAACACCTCACTCTGTAACAGGGAAAACACCAACAGAACTGTTTTACAAAAGACAGAACAGAGACAAAATACCTATGCTTCAGGATATACATACAGGAGATGACACAGAAGTTAGAGACAAAGATAAAGAACAAAAAGAAAAAGGAAAAGAATACGGAGACAAGAGAAGAAATGCACATAATGTGGATTTGAGCGAAGGAGATAGAGTTTATGTAAAAGAAATGAACAAAAGTCACAAGCTTGCACCAAATTATAACCCAGCACCACACATAGTTGAGACAGCAAGCAATGGAGATATTACCGTCAGAAATGAAGAAACTGGACAGACCCTGAGGAGAAACATATTACATTTAAAGAGAGTAGAAGGAGAGTGGAAATCAATACAAGATAATCAAGAACGTAATCTGACAAACAACAGTGAAAATCTAAATCAATTCGATGAGTTACAGTAAATTGGTAACTTACATACTATTAAGTGTAATCAAGGTTGATTGTATCAAATGATTAATAAAGTTTTTGATAAGGAAGAGATGTAGTGTTTGAGTAGAACCTACAATCCTTAGTACGTATGACATTGTCTCGTGCCTACTGTGTGGCGGGGCGCGCGGTCATTGCAGCGCGAGCCACGGGCGAGAGCGGACGTGCCGCCTGCGCACACAGTGAGTTGCCGAGCCAGTGAGATCGTGTTACAGGAGCACTACACCTAGCTTTAATCCAGCTTCGCTCAGCAACTAGCCTAGACAGATGCCAACCTTGTAAGGTTATATATTATCACAAATGTATAATTTTGACAAGCTGTTTCATCACAGTCCTATGCATAATTTTAGCTTATTATTATTAATAGGATGACCGCTTTTTACGACGACATGAAAACGTGTTTCTTGCACACGGTAAAAAAAGTTATTATAGGCTTAGTTTAGCGCCACTTTATTATTAACTTGTTAGTTTCTGTCTAGTCTAGTAGATATAGGTCTGTAACGTTGACCAAAAGGAAAAAAATATGAAATCTAAATATATAAAACTCAAAGGTGACTGACTGACATAGTGATCTATCAACGCACATCCCAAACCACTGGACGGATCGGGCTGAAATTTGGCATGCAGGTAGATGTCGTAAACATCCGCTAAGAAAGAATTTTACGAAACTCTACCCCTAAGGGGGTAAAAAGGGATCCACGCGTACGAAGTCGCGAACGGCCGCTAGTGCTATAATAATATCATGTCAAATCGGACCCATGACGGTTCAAAAAGTCAGAATTGTGATCTCGATATTTATTAAAGGTATTTGCTCCACGGCAACTTCAAACGATTTTCTAGCATAGTCATCAATCCTGAAATTTATTCTAATTTAGTTCCAAAATTCACTTAACTTATTGAATCCCAAATTTTCTATAAATATTAACGCGCCCGTTCTAGTAGAAATTTGTCCCTCATGTCTTCACATGTGCTCAGGATCCGATGGTTATATAAAAGTATGTAGTTTAAAATTCTATGCTGCCCGGGCGAGCGGGACAATTACCCCGTATAAATAAGACATTATAATGTATTTGGGGACACACGGCTGTAGAGTTTGACGAGCAAATCTGAAAATAACTGAATTTCAGAGGTTTTCACTGCTCAAGAGACACCTTTGGATTTGTGTTACTCAGTTGTAATTGAGACGTCATGCCACTAAGTTAGGAAATGCCTAGATTAAGTTATAACTTATTAAATAAAAAATATTCTGTCAACAATTCAAATAGCACTAACCCATAACACGTATCCAAAATCCACCCCCACCCCCTGTGTAGGTAGGTACTTACTATATTGGCAAGGTAAAATTATATTGAAATCACTCGGACAGTCCCGTGTCATTTTGCGATACATTGAAAATACTCTCCTACATAAAATATCCTGAATCTGAGTCAAATATAGTTTGCTGAACTTGAAACCCATGTGTCCCAAGTACAGATTTTCTGAAGGAATCGGTCACGTTGGGTCGCACGCGACTTTATTCGTATGAGGACCGATTTGTCAATCGCCAGATAATTTTCGGAATAAGTTTAACATAGTTTACACTTTCTAATACAATTTTGTGTATAGGAAATGTGTCAAGTCCACTTTCATCCTTGATAAACGTTCGAACCTTAACTTCGAACTTCTATGTTCTTCTGATTAATTTCGTTGCGGGTCCAATGACAGTTTAACTTTCCCCCGGGACAAACTTGACCTTCACTGGTTGGGTTTATTGGCGGTCAAGCTGTAGATCCTGGCTACACAGGAGTTGCAGCGGTGGGAACGAGAGGTGGGAATAGTCCCGTTTCATCCTTGGTAAGGAAGAATTCTAAGAAGATAAAATCGTATCGATGATCATATGGGTGCTATATTTATTTATTTATATACTTGTAGACAAAGGCTCCAAACTGGGTTTACATCTACTGAAGTACTAGTAACTACAAAAATAAGAATATTTCAAAATAAACAAAATCTCAACTGTATTTTGGATGGATAGGTTTTGGTACCTATCTACGGAAGGGAAGAAATACTTAGGATCTGCCAGAACTAAGTCAATTTCCTTGTTTCCATGGTTAATTGTGCAGGTATACATATACCTATGTCCAATAACATAATAAGTAAAATATCCAGTCTCATTTATTAAAATCCAGAACATTTATTTTTATGTGACAGACTAAGGCAAAGGAGCTTTACTCATTTTCAATACTCATTACGTAGTACATTCAACAGCACATCAGCTTTTACATTTTTGTCTCAAAATACCCTGTATTACAACGAGATAAGACGCCACTGTTCAGCTTGATGTGTCTTCTGTACATCTAATCTTGCACAATGATTACCATTTCACAATGTAAAGTACCCCAGACACGGCCGAATCGTCTGTTTCGCCGCGGTATGTGGGTGTGTGTGGACTGTCTTAGGACCTGCGCTGACGATCCGAGAATAGAGAAAGATATAAAAAGTATAAATCCAAATTGGGGGAGGCCTATGTTCAGCAGTGGACGTCCTACGGCAGAAATGATGATGATTATCGGATACGAGAAACAGTGATCAACTTGTGTACAATGTATATTATGTTATCTTTGTCCACTGATTTTCAAAGTTGTTTGACTTTTCTGACATCATATGTCTAATTTAACATGCATTCCGACTTTTTCAGATTGCAAGCATTTGATAGATATATTAGCGAACAAGGTATAATAACATTTTGTCGGCCGGTTGGTCAGCCGGGTCAGCCCCGATACTGCTGATTGGTGAGGTAGAGCTGAACTGACGAGAAACCGCATAAAACCGAAGTAAATTATGGTATGTTCTATAGTCGGAGGCTAATGCCCGATTTCACCATCAATTCCTAATTTTTAAGTGACCAATATGATACTAGGTGGACCGACGATCTGGTAAAGGTCGCGGGAAGAACCTGGATGCGGGCAGCGCAGGACCGTTCATTGTGGAAAACCTTGGGGGAGGCCTTTGTCCAGCAGTGGACGTCATTTGGCTAAAACAAACAATATGATAACAAAATGCCTGTCATGAAAACGGGCATAAGACACACTTTGGATTGCTGAGTATTTAAAAAATCAAATCAAATAGTTTTCTTGGTACATAGGCCCTTTCCAGGGCGCTTATGCATGTCCCAAATACAGCTTCCCGTACCACCACTTCGGGACAACATATGGGCTGGTGCTGAAAAGTGGCGGAAGAAACTCAGTCACCTTTGTCAGCCTCTTGTAAGTATCACGATTGTCACAATGTTAAAACAACAAACGTGCAGGTCCGTGAGCGTACGCTCTAACTCTAACGGTTTGCGTTACGGTTCCTTATCTCACAATGAATAAGCTTATGCCTGCGTTACTACGCCTCGATCTACTTGCTAATAACTGCTTAGTGTTACGTGTAGAAAGCCGGTCAACTGTGTGATCTACCTGATCTAGATTGTTAAAGATCATTGTTGTGAACCATATCCATGTCAAACTCTACATTTTTAACGCGAAGAAGACTTATGTCTGTTTATCTTTTGGTCTGGGAGTAGGGATCCCAGGTGACATGTTTGGCTTTTTAGGGGCTTGTCCGGATTTTGTTAGGCTTTTTATGTGGCTGCCGCCATAAGATAAGACTGCTAATTGCACCCCCCTGTACATGTTAGTTACTACAGTTTTTTTAAAAAGTATGTCCGGCTTATAGGGTAAAATGTCCGGCCAAATTAAGCACATAGTCCGGCTTTTGTGTTTTTGGACCTGGCAACCCTATCTGGGTACCCTATCACTTTGTGTATTTTGTGAGCTTTTTGTGACATGGATTAATTTATACAACAAAACGTACTTACCTTCTTACGTAATTGTCTACAACAATAGGTAAAGGCATATCTTATTAATGCGATAGATTGGGAGGTTAAAAAGATAAATTGTTATTTCATCACTACTGAACGGATTTGGGTAGAATTTTACAATGTATTTTTTATACAGAATTAAAATATACTCTTAGCCTATAATTATTTCGGATTTTCAAATCGAAATCTAACTGAATGAAGCCGTAAGCAGAAACTATTTAAGGGTATGACGATCCTGTGCTTTAGAAAAAAGCAGCAAGCAGAAACTGTCTAAGAATATAATGATTGTGTACCTTGTAAAGACGCAAAGCCTAATTTGCTATACTAACTATGCTTACTATACATGACTCGGATATAATCAAATCGCTCTCAATCTTAAAATCGATAGTATGTATTTACAAGGAATAGAAATAGAATAGAATAGAATAGACGTTTATTTTGCTGCCACATGAATACACATCTACAGTGTGAGTCACGTTAAAGTGTACATATGAAAATATATGAAACTAGACCTATTTTTATCGACAAAAAAGAGGTTAAAATTTTTTTTAGATTTTTTTTTTAATTTTTTATAGATTTTTTTTTCTTCCAATTACTTATTGTAAAGAAAACGTAATAACTTTTAAACTAAGCGGTATATCCTGATAAAATAAAAACAGTAATAATGCTAAATAACAGGCGATACTAAAAAAATACATAAAATACACAAAAAATGCCAACAAATAATAAAAAAAGATACTTTTTGAAAAAAATCTGCTTTTAAATTCGTGTTTTTTTGGTTATTTGATAAATTTCTCCAAAAAATGCCCCTATAACAGGTGGTTTTTATTACTTTGTATTATTCTCTATCGTATTATCTTTGTAAAACCAAAAATCGCATGTCTCTATCCCTATCACAACATTTGCTATGATCGTTTGAACAAAGGCCTGCCACAACATTATTCTCCGCTACAGGTAGAGACAATTTTATTTTTAACTAAAATGCTTATTTTACTTCGAAATCTTTTGTTTTTATTTGAAATCTAACTTGTCTTTATCAAAATTATTAGTTACAACAGGATATTGCGAAATTCCAACGGGAACGGGAGTTAGCGGGAAAAAACATTTGTATGAAAAAATCTAAACAGCGTAAGATAGATGAAGGG